TCGGGCACCAGACAATTCCATATCCGAGCAAGGGCTGAGGAAAGCTTCTTGCTCATGTGTTTGGCTTTGTCAACAAAGTATGTCAAAGGAATTGTAAGAACTGTTTTTATTACTGTTACTCTGAGGACAGAGGGGCCTGGGACTTGGGCTCTTTGGAGAAGCCACAGTGCTCACTTTGTCTGAGGAGATGAGAGAGTGACTTGGAATTGTAATGCTTGTGGTTTCATGAAGTGAGGCATTGAAAATTCAGCTCCTTTCTTCCACCCTGGAGATCAGGGACTTGAATCCCATGGACATCTGTGAGTAAGGGAAATACTGCAGAGAAGGAGACACAGACACTGTACTTCTTAGGGAACAGGAACAACATAGGAAACCGTGTAAAAGCCAAAAAAACAAAAAAACAAAAAACCAAACCGGTTGTAGTCAAGTGGATTCTGACTCACAGCGACCCTATAGGACAGGGTAGAACTGCCCCCTAGGGTTTCCAAGGAACAGCTGGTGGATTCAAACTGCTGACCTTTTGGTTAGCAGCCAGTCTCTTAACCACTGCACCACCAGGGCTCCAGGTAAGATAGCAGAAAATTAGTGAAATGATGCGGTAAAGAATCTGAGCGAAAAGGGAATGCAAGATGATTAGTATTTCCAGAAATTCTGCTTGATTTGCTTTGCTTTTGGTGAACACTTTAACTATTAAAAATACTAGAATAATACTTAAATTTATAAAAAGGTATGGGTGCAACACACTATAAGCCCTATATTTCATTTGTTAATACATTTTAAAAAATTTTTTATTGTGCTTTAGATGAAAGTTTACAGTGCAAGTTAGTTTCTCATTCAACAATTTCTACACAAGTTGTGACAACGGTTACAATCTCCGCATCATGTCAGTGCTCTTCCTCTTTCCACCCTGGGTTCCCTGTGTCCATCCATCCACTTTCCTGTCCCTTCCTGCCTTCGCAGCTTGGCCTTTGGGCAGGTGTTGCCCATTTGGTCTTGTATACTTGATTGAACTAAGAAGCACGTTCCTCATTCCTGACGTGTGTTACTGTTTGTTCTGTAGGCCTGTCTGATCTTTTGCTGAGAGGTGAACTTTAGTGGCTTCAGTTCTGAGTTAGCAGGGCGTCTGGGGGCCATAGTCTCGGAGGTTCCTCCAGTCTCTGTCAGAACAGTAAGTTTGGTCTTCTTTTTGTGAATTTGAGTTTTGTTCTGTATTTTTCTCGCACTCTGTATGGGACCCTCTATTGTGATCCCTGTCAGAGCAGTCGGTGGTGGTAGCCGGGCACCAGGTAGTTCCTCTGGGTGCAGGCTGGTGGAGGCTGCGGTTCAAGTGGTCCATTAGTCCTTTGGACTAATATTTTCCTTGTGTCTTTGGTTTTCTTCATTCTCCTTTGTTCTGGATAGGATGGGACCAATAGATGTATCTTAGATGGCTGCTCACAAGCTTTTAAGACCCCAGATGCTACTAACCAAAGTAACCATTTGTTAATAATTTTGTCCTTTCCATTTTGAAAGTTTTGAGGCTGTCAGGCCTGACTTTATTTCCTCTAAGTGTTGGAGAGTGGAATTCCAGTAATTAGTATTCAAACTGTAGGTTCTTCTAATTGCTAATGAGGAAATCATATTCATTGTTACCCAGTGCTGCGTAAAAAACAAAAACAAAACTGAGAGATACTGTGTTTCTAACAAACAGGCCTTGTAAGATAACCTGGACCTCAGAGATGGCAGGTGAAAAGGAAACCTGAACCTCTAAAAGGGCTGTAATTCTCACTGGTCATTTACCTAATGACATGTGGTCTGATGCTACTGTGGTATGGTCTAAAAAGGTGAGGGGGGCATTGGTTTGATTATAATTAGATGAACTAAAATAGTTCATCAGACCACCTTCTTAGTCATCTAGTGCTGCTGTAACAGAAAGACCACAAGTGGGTGGTTTTACCAAACAGAAATTTATTTTCTCACAGGTTAGGAGGCTCCAACTCGGAAGACAGGGCGCCAGTTCTAGGGAAAGCTTTCTCCCTCTGCCGGCCCTGGGGGCAGGTCCTTGTCTCTTTTCAGCGTCTTTTCCCCGGGGCGATCTTCACGTGGCTTGACATCTCTCTCTCCCCCATCTCTTCTTGCTTGCTTAATCTGCTTTTGTATCTCAAAAGAGATTGATTTAAGACACCCAGCACTAACACTGTCTCATTAACATAACGAAGAAAACCCATTCCAAAACAGGATTATAACCACAGGTATAGGGGTCAGGATTTACCACACATATTTTTGGGGAACACTGTTCAATCCGTAACAACCACCCACCCAGGAGCATCAAATGTGGGGAACATGCAATATGGTGAAGTGACGAGTAAGCAGGGGACTCCCATCAACCCTTTCCCACGTGTAGTACCTACCCTTCCATCAGGATGCTTGGCACTCAGTGACGTGTGTCCATCTGATTCATGAATAACTGTGTGCCAGCATCAGTCCGCATATTAAGTATTACTGATGCTTACTTCCTTTCATGGATGAAAAAGTAGCAGAATTTCTAAGATTTCCCCCCACAACTCACTGGATTATCTTGCCTACCTGTACAACCCAGTTTTGACGTTACTGGGATATGAATATAGCCTGGGGGGTGTAGTGTTCCATGGTTCCTCTATCCCCCCGCCAAACAACTGAAAACAAAAGGAGAAATGGACTTTCTTTTCAGCCGTGTCACGATGGCAACGTAACATCCATGTACACGAGAGAGTTCTATTTCTATGTTCAAACGGAAATGCAAACACTGCATTGTGCAAACAATCACCCAGGACTAGGAAGAGAGTTGGAAATCAGATACTAGGGTGGCTGATACTTGTTTTCATTTAAAGCTCTCATTGCAAATCCTACTTATTCAAAATTTAAGTATTGATTTTTTGGGTTTTGCTTTTAGCCTTTTGGAGCCCTGGTGGCACAGTGGTTAAGAGACCAAAAGGTGGGCAGTTCAAATCCACCAGGCGCTCCTTGGAAACCCTCTGGGCAGCTCTACTCTGTCCTGTAAGGTCGCTATGCGTCAGAATCGACTCAACAGCAACGGTTTGGGTTTTTTTTTGTGTTTAGCCTTTAGGCTAGATCTTTGGTGCTGCTAGTCCTCATTGGGCCTGATTATGTACGAGGTAGTTCAAGCACCATCAGAAAGCTGGCCAGGCCTTTGTGTACTGTCCAATCAGTTTGGCTGGACAGGGCAGTTCACCAAGGACTGTCCACAGCACACTCTTCACTGTTCTTTCAGCTGAGGTGATTTGTTGCCCTGTGTTGCCAACATCCCTTTCTTTATAATAAGTATATAAACCAGGGCTGGACAACAGGCCCCACCTAGTGGCTTTTCAGAGAAAAGCAGGTAGAGCTACAAAAAATAAAAAAAGATGACTCCAAGTCACAAAACCTTCTGTGAAGATGGGATACTAGTTAATTCTTTGAAACCTAATCTGGAGACAGGAGGGTTAATATCTGTAAAACTGTCAAAAGTGAAGTTCCAAGTCAGTGCTTCTCAATTACGGGAGAAATTATTAAAAATAATTTATTTAAAATGTGTGTTCTCAACCCCTACCCCTATGAGTCTGATTTAGTCTGGGAAAGCGCCGTGGTGGCTCAGTGGTTAGGAGCTCAGCTGCCAACCAAAAGGTCGGCTGTTTGAATCCACCAGCTGCTCCTTGGAAACCCTATGGGGCAGTTCTCCTCTGTCCTATAAGGTCACTATGAGTCGGCATTGACTGGATGGCAGTGGGTTATTTTTGGTTTTGGTATATAGATACGCCACCCAAGAACTCCATATAGAAGGTGGAGTTCTCGGGTGGCGTATACGGTTAAGCACTCGACTACTAGCCCAAAGGCTGGTGGTTTGAACCCACCCAGACATGCCTCCGACGACAGGTCTGGAGATTTGCTTCCAAACGGCCACAGCCTTACAAACTCTTTGGAGCAGTTCACCTCTGCGTGCATGGGGTGGCCATGAATCGGAGTTGATGTGAGGCAACCGACAACAACAGATACAGAAGGCTGACGTCACGGAAGTGGGGGCAAACCATCTGCAGATCAAGTGAGACTGCGGAACCCTGACGGGGGACCCAACACTCAAGACGGTATGTGGCAATTCCTGGTCTAGTCCCTGCACGGACAGAAGCCGCAGCTCTATTGGTGAGACAGAAGGCTCATGCTTCCACTTTTTAAACTTCATTTTGAAATAACTGTACGATTCTCCTATCTTTGAGAATCTTCCTTGGTAAGCTATTCCAATATAGTTTTTCGTTTTTTTTTTTTCTAAGAGAAACAGATTGGCCTAAATATTGTGTCTTCTAGCATTTACCTTTCACTTCTAACTCCCTCCCCCTGCTATACTCTAAATGGGAGGATAATTCTGTTGTCTGTAACTCATTGATCACAGGTTGTTCTCAAAGACATGAATCTGAATGGCTTTGGTCTTTGATTTCCCCATGGTATTTCTGCTTGCCTTAGATGTAGTCTCTCATAGAGCCAAGTCTCATTACGTTAATAGGAGACCAGGGTAACGCTGGGAAATGAACCACCATTGATTGGGAACTGGGGTCAAGTACTGGGGCTAGGCCTTCCACACGCAGGAGTTATTACACTGACACCTACGACCACCTTAGGAAGGAAGCATTCTACTTTACAAAAGAGAAAGTGAGGCGCCGAGAGGTTAACTCATCTGTCCAGCCAGTAAGTTAAAGACAGGATGTGAACCTAGGTTTGAATTCAATGCACGTTCTTTCTAAATGTGCAGCTTCTAAAATCTACAGACAACCCTCAAATAGTCAACTGTATTCAACTTTCCCTCAACTAAAGTATCTTTGGCCAGAACTACTGAAAAGGAGGAACAGTAAACTATTTTATGGCCCCTTGTCTGTCTTTGTTCAGATACGAACGTCCAAAAGGTGTGCGGCAGGATCATGAAGAAACTGAATAATCCGCCGCTGACTACATAATGCGGCTTGTGGACGTTTTCTTCGCTTAAAAATACACACTGTGCCGAAAAACTGTCCAGAACTAAAATCCGCAGCGTACAGGGGGTGAGGCCAACGGACAGCCAGCTCAGTGCACTCGGTCAGGGCAAACATTCTAAGTTAAATAGAAGATACCGACTGTCCACACCAGGTTCAAAATCCAGGGGAAAAAAATCCAAACCTGTTGCCGTTGAATTGATTCCGACTCATCAACACCAGGTGCCTACCGCAGGAAAACACAAGCAGCAAGGAGAAAGAAGAGATAAAAGAAAGTCTGAGAGAAGCAGCTATCACAAACGTGAGATTCGCAGAGCTGAAGAAGGGAAGAAAACCTACGCGGAGGGCCTACTGTACGCCCAGTGTCTGCTTTAATGCCTGGGAGACTGGTGCTGAATAACACGTGGCTGAAAGGATTTCAGGCCCCCAAGTTTACATATTTTACATGGTCTCTCATTTAAACCATCTCTCATTCAGTTCTTTCTTCATTGAATAGTTATATATCCTATAATTTACATAATAAGCCTGTTATTTAAAAATTTCTATAGGTACGACGATGATTCCATTTGATTAGTCTGGACTCTAAATTGCTTGGACAAGATTTATTTTGGAATCACATTATCCAAGCAAAGAAAAACACACACAGTTGTTTCATCAGATAACACAAATGAAGAAGTGAGACAAGTGTGCCTTAGAAGTTTATCAATAAGCTCTTATATACACATAGATATTCACAAAGTCATTGAGAGTCCTTTCATACAATCCTTCAGATGAGGTCCAATGGCTGAGAACGCTAACGAGACACATGGTCACAGAAGGAAGAAATCAACATGACTTTCAGTGATCTTGGTTTTCTCCCAACTTGATTGCCCCTTAGTTGGGGAGAGAAAGAAGTCCATTTTCATCTGCTGTGTCTAAGATTTTGCAGATCACTGGAGATTCAACCTAGAGAACAACAGCAGCAACAACAAAACCATTAAAAAGCCAACAGGATGAATCCTTTAATCAGTATTATTCTGCTGAGTGAATACATGTATATACTTTGCTAAAAGTACACGAGTCTTTGTTTTGGATAAATGACCTACAATTTGAGATAACTGTTGGTTATCTGTATAAAATATCAGATGGTGGAGAAGACATTTTTATCTCTAAGTGGTGACAGAGAAAAGGAGGAGAGGATAAGAACAAGAGAGGAATACAAAGCTAGATCTTACACAAACAAAAATAATACGGAATAATGGCAAAATAATCAGTTGTGCAATTAAAACGCAAAGAAACACTTAACCTTAGTTTTTTGGATGATGACCCATTTTCCAGTTTACTCTGGTAGAAAATACTGCACTGTAATTTATTACTAAGCAATATTTCCTTAATAGCAGAATTTAGGGGTTTAGAAAGAATTACATTAGAGTGGCCTTTTTAATGACTGGAATAATCGTAATTAATATTCACTGAAAGTTTACATGGTTTTGAGCACTTTTTCATGTATCATCTTATTTAATCTTCCCAATAAACTTATGAGGCAGGCACTTCTTTAATTCTCATTTTACAGATGAAGAATCTGAGGCACAGAGAGGTTAAAAACTTTGCCAAAGCCATAGTTTCAGTAAGGACAAAGCTAGGATTCACCACACACTTTGGATCCACATTCTCTGCTACTTAACACCCCACAGAGGTCTTAGGATAGCTCCAGTGCTTAAGTTCTCCTTCAGGACAGTAGGGGAAAATGATGGAACATCAGCTTAACCATGGTTGAAGACCATGGAATGACAATCTTCATAACCTATTAGAGCACTCACTGGATGGTATCAGATGGCATGTATTTTAAACAATTTTCACTTTATTTAACTTATTATATTTTTTTCATGACCCTGGCACTAGATTTTTACTTAAGCAAAACAGACTTCCGTCTTTCACCCTGAAGAGTTTAAAGACAATTCTTTCTTGACTTCAGTTTTACAGAAAGGTGCCTCTGCCTTATCTGCCTATGGCGTAGCTAGGAGAGGAGTATGTAGGATGAACACACTATGTATTAGCTGTAATGGTGTCAGAAACCTATTTTTCCATACTAGGATATTTTGTTTGTTATCACTAACTTGTTAAACGTGCCTGTGACTATTTTCTTTGAATTTTGTGGTAAAATATACATAACAAAATGGCTGCCAATTTAACCATTTTAAGTGTACAATTCAGTGACATTAATTACACCCACCATGTTGTACAACCATCACCACCGTCTATTTATACAAGTTTCTCATCATGCCAAACAGACAGTACTTAGGTAGAAAGTCCCCATCTCCCTCCTCCCCCAAAGCCCCTCGTAACCATTGACAAATATCTGCCTATTCTAGCTGTTTCATGTAAGTGGGCTCATACGATCTTTGTCCTTTTGTGTCTGACTTATTTCAATCAGTATAATATTTTCAGGGTTCATCCATGTCGTACTACGTACAAGAACTTCACTTCTCTTGATGGCTGAATAATATTCCACTGTATGGATCTGCCACTTTTTCTTTATCCATTCATCTGTTGATGGACACTTTTGTTGTTTCCACCTTTGGCTACGGTGAATAATGCTTGCATTGAACACTGGGGTACAAGTATCTGGTTTGAGTCCCTGTGTTCAAATCTTTTGGGTACATACCTGGGAGCGAAACTAGTGTCATATGGGCTGTATTAAATATTCAGAGACTTCTGAAGATCCTTTCTAAACTTAATCGAAAAATTAAAATCTGGCCCCCAAATGGAATTCGCAATTACTTTTTTTACTTACCCCAAGAATATACTGACAGGAATGAGGCTCTAGCATATATACGGTAACAGCATGAGGAGAATCTGACTCTTTACACCTAAAATAGAGAGTACTTTAAGGCACTGTCCAAATCAGACAATGTAAGATTATTTTTAATAGCTTTTTCTTAAAAATCCCATACAAATGAACCCTGTATAATTTAACAATAATTATATTCATAATTACATCTTATATTTCTATAAAACTGTTGTCCACAGAAAGGTGGTAAAAGAGATGGGCATAAAGAATGATGTGAGAGTCCAACTTACTTTAGTTTTACAGTCACCTGTCTTGGTTTGTCAGTTATATCACAAATATCTCCATTCCCATAAAAGTGTGACACCATCCTGAATCAGAGAAACACACACGCTTTATTACACTAAAACCTCACGGATTCAGAACAACTGTAACGGGCAGGCTGAGAAGGGCAGAGCGATCAGTTTTGCATTAGTAAAATATTCTTTAAAAATACGTATTTTTAGGGATAAGGGACAGAGAGACTTAGATTTTAAAAAGAGACTATAAAGAAAGGTAATTTCTACTGGTTTAATAACGATGATCTTCAACTTGCGTATTATTTATTTGTATACACATAGCTATCGTTAGATTGCTTTAAAACAGTCGTTCTTTTAAAGTTAACCACTGCCCCAGCTCCTGTGTACTGTTTCTTCTGTGGAACAAACTTTCTCTTGCATCCCACCCTCCACCCAGCTTCTCCCATTAAAATCATGTAGTACAGGTAGTATAAAAGGTAAGGCTTAGGCCATGCTATGAATTCCAAGTCAGCAGGATCCAAAGGGAAGTATTCGTTTTGCTGGTTTCATACACCCCTGCTTCAGTATTTGCTGCACATGATACCACAAGCCATTTTCACATGAAACAAATACAAGCATCAAAAAACAAAAACCAATCTCTTTAGTATGTTCTAATACTTAAATGTCCATCTCTAATTTTGCTAATTTTGATTTTGGTTAGCAGGAAAAGTCAGCATATTCTGAAATCAGTCTCTCAGTACCGTATGTGCTAAGAAGGACAAAGTTAACAATTGAGAAAGAAGAAGAATGGGTAATGTAAAATTCACTGGGCAAGACAAGCTAAAGCTCAGTTATTCTTGGGAAATGGGATTAAATTACTTAAGAAAAATAGCTAAAAGAAAATATATCTATATAGCTCAAAAGAGATGTGAGGTAGTTTTTCCAAAAGCCACCGTAATGTTGGAATATTTCTAACCATTACATCACAAACGTTAAAAAAAAGCAAATGTTAGAGTATCCTGAAATGGAGCCCTGGTGGTGTAGTGCTTAAAGCGATGGACTGCTAACCGAAGGGCTGGCAGTTGGAAACCACCAGCGGCTCTGTGGGAGAAAGATGCGGCAGTCTGCTTCCATAGAGACTGACAGCCTCGGAAACCCCGTGGGGTTGCTGTGAGTCCTGATCGACTCGATGGCAGTGGACCTGGACTTGAGAGTATAATGAAATAGAATTAAATACCTTAAAGAGGCAAACGCTTTATAAGAGCCTCAGACCTAATACCTGGAACTGTGCGTTATTACTAACGTCACCACCTCATGCCACCACCGTTAAAGGCAGCAGCCAGCGTTTACTGCGTCCTATTATCAGGCACCACGCTTTCCATGCATGACTTGGCTTAAATATCACAACAACCCCATGAAACAAAACTACTGGACAAGAAAAGTGAGGCTTAGAAAAGATTATGTAACTTGCCCGAGGTAGTAAGAGCCAGTGTTTGAATCCACGGAGTCTGACTCCAGACACTGTGCTCTTAGCTATTATACCGTGTTGCCTCCCCAAGAAAAGAAAGCTAACCTGAAAGATGTCCCCTGAAAAAAACTGGACCAGAGATTTTACTTGTGTTTAGATGTTCTTCCATGTTCTGAGTTTTTAAGTCTACTAATCAGATCCAAAGGCAAAAAGAAGTCCTGTTTACCTGACTGTCTGGGTACCATCATCTTGCAGGTGAAAGGCTCTAGCAGTATTCTTCTTAGCCCATTCAATATGCTCTTCTTGGTTCCAAGTCCCCACAACCACAGAGGTTTTCCCACTATCCTTGTCCTAATATATGAAAAAATATTTGTGATAATGCATGTTCCACAGCATCAGGTAGACATTTATGCTGATAACCTGACCCTCCTAGAAGCTCTAGTCCTTATCCTCATCCGCACACTGGGTATGTCAACATCTAGATGCAACAATGTTAGCCGAACTCCGCGAGCAGAGACCTGAGTTCACTGTCTTTATTCCTGGTCTCTGTGAATGATGTACCCACCTTCTAGCCACGCTAGTTCCAGGGGTACAATTACTTTTAACTCCATCTCCTTCCTCTCCTACATCTATCAGTCCCGACAATTTTTTCCTGGAGAGATGTTCTTGGTTTCCGGCTCTTCGTCTACATTTCCACTGCCACCCCTCATCCCTCAACCAAGAGTTTAATCTCCTATACCTAGATAATACAACCATAGTACTACTAGATAATACAACCATATACTACTGCAATTCTTAATTAAATCTTTTAGCCTCTCTCTCAACCTGCAGCCACACTGAGCCTAGCTTCATCCCACTTTTACTCTTTAAATGCAAACCTTCAGGTTATGCTGGTTTTCACACTGCTCACTGACACCATGTTTATTTTTGTATCGAGCCTGTCTTCCCCATTCTGCCTATTTCTTACAAATTCTTACAAGTTCACATTGAACTCTTCTGCTATAGTATTACTTCATTACTTTTTAAGACTCTTTCCTTCCTTTCTTCCTTCCTCCCTTCCCTTCCTTGTATTTTATTCCAGGCACCATGCTGGCACGAAGATACATCTGATTAGTAGAATTAAAACCCTTACAGTGGCAACAAAAGCGGTATGGCCACGGCCTTAGTGGAGATGATGTTGTTGCTGTGTGCTGGCGAGTCGATTCCGACTCACAGAGACCCTAGACGACGGAGCAGAACTGCCCCGTAGTGTTTCCTACGCTCTAGTCTGTAGGGTTGCTATGAGTCGGAATCGACTCAAGGGCAATAGGTTTTTGGTTTTTAACCTTTATGGAAGCAGACTGCCGTATCTTTCTCCCACAAAGTGGCTGGCGGCTTCAAACTGCTGACCTTTTGGTTGGCAGCCGAGCACTTAACCACTGTGCCACCAGGGTTCCTTCAGTGGAAGAGACAGTCATTAAAAATTCTTTCCGCAACTAGACTGTAAGCTCCTAGACAGACAGGGGTTAATTAGAGCAGCACAGCGAAGTATTTAAGAGGTTAGATTATGGAGCAAGACGGCCTGGGTCTGAATTCCAGTTTCACCATTTTACTACCTGTGTGATTTTAGGCAAGTTACTGAACCTTTGTTTCCTCATCCTGGAATGATGATACCCACCTCTTAGGCTGTTATGAGGACTACATGAGTTAATACGTGTAAAGTACTTAGAACCGTGCCTGACACACAGTGAACGATTACTACTCTTCTGTCTCCCTAAGCCGCTAGCAGAGTCCCCAGGAAGTTCTGGGTTACATGACCTTGGCCAAGATAAGTTTGATAAAATCCACTGTTGGCCAGTGTATGGGAAAACAGCTGTTGCTAACGGGTATGCACATATGCTGACCTAGCAACTACACTGCTAGCAATGTGCCCTATGAATATCCTTGCAAAAGTACGGCAACATGATGGCTGTACATGATTAACATAATCAACGTCACTGAATTGTCCATGTAAAAACCGCTGAATGGGCAGATGTTTTCTTATATAAATTTTTAACACATGCACATAGAACACATACACACATAGTATAGCAAAAGAACTATTTAAAAGTGCTCACTAAAATACTATGAGAGCAAAACCAGAAACAATGAAAGGTCCATCCACAGAGGTCTCGTTAAATACAGGTGGGTACGGACGATACTCCATACCTACTGAAAAGAAGGGCTGGCTGCTGCTGACATGGAAAGGTGGTCAGGATACTAAGTGAAAAGAACAAGCGCAGGGTAGTCTGTTTAGTACGATCTCTTCTGCATAAACAAAAAGGTTACGCCAACATTTACGTATGTGCATTTCTTTCTTGTGGAGGGTTAACTAAGGAAATGTTAACAGCAGTTACTTTTGGGAGGTGGGATGATGGCAGAGAAGAATTTTACTTTTCATTTGTAATTTCTGGCGTATATTCCTTTAATTAAAAATGAAAAACGTTACTGGGTATTTTCTGGGCAGTAGTTAGGTGGTACTTCCTTTATTCTTTCTCTATATTAAATTATACTCCCCAACTCTTTCAAGGAATGAAAAGAACTTTTTAAAGCAGCCAGGGCAGTATTTATTAATTAAAGCTTGTCTTCAATGACTAGCAGTTTACCTTACCAAACGAAGTAGAACTATGGTAAGCAAAAGCATTAGGGCTTGAATTTCAGAATCTGAACACCTTGGCTCAAGTGTGGAAAGCTATGCTACCTGATTTACAAAATTATGAAAAAAAAAGAAGCACAAAAGTCAATGTGTATAATCTTAAAACTTTATTTTAAATTTCAGATGATATAGTACCTTCTTCTTTTAGCTGAGAAACTTGCTGTATTTACCCTACTTTACTAACTCTAGTGATAATGTACTACCCTGCCGTTCATTTTCTTAGTGATAAGAACGACTAATTTCTCAGTCAAAGCTTAGCGACACAGTCACAAAAGCTTATGATTCCAACGGGATCTGAGTAGTTAATAAACATGTAAGTTTAAGATGACTGACTTAGTCAACACCAAGTTTCCTATTTGCAGAGTTTTAAGACACTCTGATTAGTATTTCCATATTAAAATCATCTCGTCATTAAAAGTAACACCAATTCCCCCTCCTTTTTTTCTGAAATGATTTAAAAGTTTTAATCCATCTAGTGGTAGAATGATATAAATGCCATTTTATAAAATCATCTCATAATTAAAAGTAACAGCAATTCCCCCTCTTTTTCAGAAATGATTTAAAAAATTTTAATCCATCTAGTGGCAGAATGATATAAATGCCATTTTATACCTCATGGTACTGATATACGTGTTTGCCATAGCAGAATTCATATTTCCACCAACCAACACCCTAAAGGAAAGACAACATATTAGATCAAGTTATGCACTGAGAATGGGGGATTGGGGCCTGTCTCTATACTGCCACACACACACACACACACATTTACCTGTCATAGCAAAAGTACGGGTGAAAATTAAATTAAAAATTACTAAGAAATAAAACAAATGAGAACAATACAGAGAATACTGCTGCACTGCCTTTACGAAATAAATCAAAAATGAAAATTCCACTTGTGAGAGCTATTAGAGGCAAAATTTCACCTTGGTCGTCATTAACTTAGGTTTTGAATGTGATTGTTACATAACCAAAATACAGAGAACACAATCTCTGATGCCCACTCCACAAACTAACCAGAGTGACACATCACTTGGTTACATATCTTCTGCCAGAGTAAAGGTTAAGTTTTAGTTCATGAGTAAAGAGAACGTCCAAACCAAAACCCACTGCCGTCAACTCGATTCAGACTCACAGCGACCCTACGGGGCAGAGCTGAACTGCCCCACAGGGTTTCTAAGACTGTAAATCTTTATGGAAGCAGACTGCCACATCTTTCTCCTGCAGAGCGGCCGGTGGGTTCAAACCGCTGACCTTTCCATTAGCAGCTGAGCGCTTTAACCAATGTGCCCCCAGGTCTCATAAAGAGAACACAGTGGCTATGCACGAGATTACAGTAAGTGGCCAGACGTGGAGAGAAAACGTCCACTGGGAGGCTTCCAGAAACCCGCCGTTTCTCTACAAACGAAAAGCTTTTTCAGTGCCGCTCATGCCCCTTGATTAAATAACTGACACATAAAATTTGTAAGATAAATATTTAAACTGAAGGTTCACGTCTCACCCCATGAAAGCAGTAAGAACCGCTAAGGAACTCTTTTATGAGTTGGTCATCTGTCAGTTTGGATATGTGGGTAGTTCCAACAGTGAGCGTCGGCTGAGAGCCAACAGCAATGGGTTTGTGGATTGCTGGAAACCTCTCTTCTTTAGTTGACTGCAAATCTTCCTAAAATTAAACAGGTATAAGTTTAGAGCTTCCGTGGCACACAATTTTTTTTTTTCAGTTACGGTTTAAATTTTTATTATTGTGTTTAAACTATAGAAAATTTAGAAAATAAAAGTTGCCTACTTGTTTTTAATGTGTTCTAAGGAAATGAGTTTTGCGACGCTTAAGAGTACAGAGAAAGCTCTGGACAAACGTTAGCTCCATCTAGTGGTTAGGGGTACGGTGGCCATCCTGAACACACAGGGATAATCTCCATTTCGTGTATTTGCCTTATTATCCTTGTTACGCACTTTGCTCCTTGTTAAACTTTGTGTCCCTACATTCAGTTCTGGAAAACGTGGTGACTGTGGACAAAGGATGAGGAGCAGGGTAAAGAGGAACTGGCTGGGAGGGAGTGTCAGTTACTAATGATTCCGATGGGACAGGGCCTGACTGCTGCCCTGGAGGGCCCTGCAGTTTAGTGGGGAAGATGCAGCTAATTAGGGTGCAGGGAAGAGCCGAGTCACAGAAGAGGTGATTCCAACAGACCCTGACGGAGAGCTGCAACGCGAAGACTGCACGCAGAGAACGCCCTCCATGAGTTCGGAGACCTGAGTAACACGTGTGATTTACACGCATGTCTGTGTGTGTTATGTGTATGTGAACTGGGGAGGGGGCGCAAGCAAAGGTGTGGCGGGGTGGTGTTTAAGATGAGCAAGATAAGTGGGTGCCACACGGTGGAAAACCATACGATGCTCAGAGGTTTGGATACTGTTTTATAGGTTACAGACAAAGGTGTGGTGTGATCATATTTTTAGGTAATTAACAGTAGTAAGGAAGAAGCGGGACAAAGGCGGGGTGGGGGAGCTGAGTTAAGAGCTGCAGTGACCCAGGCCAGCGGTAAGGACAATCTAAAGTAATGGGGGGACAGAGTTGGGGTGGAGAGAGGAGGATGGTTATGAAAGAGGTTAATGAGTTAGAATCTGGGGAGTCACTGGGTATCGACAGTGAGAGAGGATGAATCTAGGCAAGAAATGAAGAAATAAGCGTAACAATTATAACTGAGTAAAATAATTAAAAGAAAATGAATAAGGAAAGGGTCCCCAATAAATGTATATAGGATATTATATCTCCCTTTTCACCTGCTATAGCTGCCTCTGACCAACTGCTTCTATTTCAGCTGGTAGGAGTCATGGAGTGGCTACTCCAGAGACCAAATGACCTTATCCTCTCTCTCCCTCAATACCAGAAGAACAAGGATTGCCAAGGTGGTTCCCTATTTTTTGAAAGATCTTGAACTTTATGGTATAATTTTTTCTATATTCAGTGTTTACTATGTTCCAGGCACTATTTTAAGTGCTAAGTATTAAAAATGAAGCAGACACACCCCCTGCTCCTAAGGATCCAATGTCTAATACAGTAAACTAGTAACAGACTACAAGTGAGCTACATCAAGGAAGGAAAACAAGAACGCTGCAGAGAGAGACTGTAGCTGAGATAAGGGCAACGGCAGGATGAAGAGAAGCACAACCACGTCTTCCTAGCGCTTCTTTTGGGCAGAACGGTCACTTTTATTTTTAAGGAAAATTATTCAAATAAGAGCAGGATGATCGCAGTTTTTGTAGCAGGGTTTGGAAAGTCATAAAATGGACTCCTTATAGTGCAGTCACCTCCAAATTAATGTAATAGATAATCACATGAGCACAACATCAAATCTAAATTCTGACAGCCAGGTCTGTATTTTTGTTTAAAAAAAAAAACGAAACACTTTATGGTAAAGCTTGGCCCAGACTTAAAAGGCAAACAATATGCCAAACACCAAGTTTTAAAAGAAAACTTACATGCAATAAACTAGATTTAGAGAAACAATGGTCCTGAAATAAAAATGATCAGTTTTAAGTAACTGCTCATCTTACAGTATCACCTGCGATTTTCACACAGAGTATTTAGGAAGTGCCCTAAAGATCTATAAGGATTTTCAAAGCATTATCATCTGTAGTTTTCTACTCCCACCAACCCCAAATCTATTTTTCTCAACTGGCAGATTAAACATATGAAAGAAAAGGTAACTGGCACATCTTCCTTGAAAAGTAATGAAAAGTTGGGATTTGTGAAGCATTTGATTGAGCTGACTATTTTTAAGTACCTGCCAGTATTTAAATCACTGTCAGGAGAACACCAGAAGAGAATTTTATCGCAAATCTTTTAATACAACACTCCAAATCAAACTGCAGATTAATGTTTAGATCAGTTTTCCCTCCTATGAGAGTGACAGTGTCGGTCACAGCAGCCACAGAGTCTGACAATACTTTTGCAAGCAGTACTCAGGAGGAGGAGGAGGAAGAGGCTTTGCAGCTAACTATGAGTCAACAACCCGTGTTAGGTACCCGCCGTGTGCCAGGCATTATGCAAGGAGGCTGAAACACCCAAGTGAAGAAAGCACAGTTTCTTCTGTCCCCAGTTTAATGTAAAAGGCTAGGTAAAACTGCCAGTTCTAGCCATGTAAGTGCTGTAACAGAAGCCTGAATAAAATACAACACCACAGAAGAGGGAAGATGATCTCTTCTTGGGGTAATCCACTGGAAGTCCTGGCTTATTTCCAGAGGAAGCAACACTGGGATCAAGTCTTCAAGCCTGAGTAGTTCATCTGGTGAAGGGGAGGCAGGGGACAAAGCAACAGAGAACAGGAAACTAAAGGTTGTTCTGAATAGCTGAGGTAGAAGGTAATTAGTGAGGCAGTGAAGAGATGTACATCATAACCACCAAAGGATTAAATACATAACCGAACGTTCATTTCAGAACCAGCATTTTATCAGATGTGCAGGGAGGATTAGAAAGGGAATGGGTGAGGAGAGCAGTTTCTAGTCCTAGGAAATAACAAAGGCCTGAAATAATGGCAGCACAGATCTGAAAAGCATTTAGAAGGTAACACCGACAGCTCTCTGTCAATGATTAGAGTTAGAAAGAAATGAAGAGACAGGTAAGAAAAATGAGACAGGTTTCCGATATAGATAATTGGGTAGCGCACAGTGCTTTAAAAACAATGGGGAAGACAAGAAGACAAGAAAAGGGTCAGTAGAAAAGAGAAATGATGAGCCTAAGATTATTGAAATTACCTATGGATGTGTACAATGATGAAAAGGGAAGACAGTATATCAAAAGGGGAGAGCGGCACTGGGAAGTGGTTAAGACGACAGGCTTTAGAACCAGACTGCTGTGATTCTAATCGCCATTCCAGCACTTGCTACTTCCCCTTTCTGAACCTCAATTTCCTAATCTGCTAAGGACGATAATAATAGTACTTATTTCATAGATGGTTGTAAGAATTAGTTAACAGTTGTTAAGACTCAATCCAGGTTAATTATTATGATTGCGCCTTGAGTTCCGGAGCGTTGTAGATGTCTATTTGGGATTCATGGGCGTATAAACGGAAGTGGAAAGAATGGGCATGCATAAGCTGACTTGGGGAGCCTGTCCACGGTAAGAAGAAAAAAGGGCTATGGACAGAACATGGGGAACGTCCACATTTTAAGGGGCAGGAAGTAGGGAAAGAGCTGGGAACCAGACAGAACAGTGGTCTGGAAGTCAAGGGAAGAGAAAAAGTTCAAGCTCTGAATGTTGAGTGTTGAATGTCAAGATCAAGTTAGGCATATGTCCAGCAAATTTAGAGCCAAAAGATTACTGTTGACCTTAATGAGAACAGTGTCACAAGAATGAAGAGTTGATAACAAACAGCACTGAGTGGAAGAATAAATGAAGTGTTAGAAGGTGGAGACAGGTTGTAGTCTATACTTTCAAGAGGCTTAGCTGGGAAGCCTAGGTAATTAGCCAAAAATTAAACCTAACTACAGTGAATAAGATATCAAAATTTAGAATATTATTAAAATTATGCAATGAATGAATGCTAAAAGTTTCTGAAATGTGCTAGAATAAGGAAACAAATTAAATACAAGAACTGGAATTTAAGATTTTGAATCAAGAAAATAAATTACTACTACTATACTATAGAAATCATTAAAATATTGAAATATGCTCCAAAATTTGGAAAACAAAGCACTGAGAAAATATCGCTAGATAATTCTCATACCTCTTTATTTCTTCTAAAAGGCACCCTTAGTATTTCTTCCTGCTGTTCCAACTGTCTCAGGGTGAGGGGCTTAAACGGTGATCCTGGCAGCGACTGGCAAAATATGTCATTCACAGGAGACGCTCGAAACCTATTCAGCAAGAACCAAGTGTTAAAGCTAAGCACACAACCCTTTCAAGCATGTGTGCATTTTGTGTTTAAAATATTAAATCCACATCCTACCTATATTTAGGATGATTGCACAAGAGTGGTGTCAAAATGACAACTTCATATTCACAAGTTGTAACTTCAGCTACTGAAAGGATTTCGTGCTTAGATTCAGGATGACATATGTACATCACAGTACTTGATCTGGGCCGGTTCTGTTTCAAACTACAAGGTGTACCATTTCCCATTCCCACAGGATAGTAGGGTGTCATCTGACCTTCGATATTTTTAGTGGGAATCTTAAAAAAAGAGTATAAGACAGGCTTTTCATTAGAAGTGGAGTTGGGGGCGAGGATGGGAGAAGCAACTTATTCTGAAAGGAAAGAAAACTACATTTTAATTTATAAACTGAAACGTAACATTCTGTATTTTCTATAAGCTCTCCTTCTGAGATTCTTTTTAATCATAAGTTCTCATTTGAGCCAATACATACTTTCAGAAAAAGAAAATGATCACGCAGTGCTAAAACGAAGACATCAAGTGTATGTACATTTATATAAAGGGCTAAAATATGAACTACTTTCAACAGCTCTAAGGAAAGACTAAGATAAAATATAAAAAATGCATTGCACTGGATCGGTGAGAGCTTTCTTTACTAATCTCTCAGTTAATGGCTGTGTTAGTTTCGATTCTAGAGATCTGAAGTCTGATTTGCGAAAAAGTGGGTCTATGTAGTAAAATACGAATCTAAGTACAGTACTGATTCATATATCTGCTTCTTCTCTGATACTAACAACATATCCTTTCCAGCACACTAACTCCTATATAAATCCAGTCAAGGCCAGCAAAAGACAAATTAAGAAAGTTTTCATGGAGTGTGGGAATAAAGGATACAACCTCAGAAGGTAAGTATTATTAAGGAGTTAGCTCCCATACTTTTATCTACATAAAACACAAGAAGAATTTCATGTAAGGGGTTTTAAAAAGATATCATTAATACTATCTCCAAGCAAGCTCTTGGGAGGCAGAGATTTCATCTTCTATCGCTTTGGTACCTTGTCAGCACTATGTCCAAAACAGGCAATAAATAAACGTTTCTAGGAAAAAATATTTTGAGATTTCCTGGTATGCTATTTTCATACTAGTGTCTAGAATCAGAAAATCCTGGGTTCCAATCCATGCTTCGACATTTACTAGCTTTAGTCTTTGACCAAATCTCAGTTTTTATCATCTGTAAAATGAGAGTAATAATATACATTTACGGTTGTCGGGAGAATCACGTGTTACCATTCGTTACATGCCTGGCACAGCGTCTGGTTTATAAACTGGGGTCAATAAATGTTAGTTTTCTTCCCTTACTCTTTGCTTCCTCTTCCTGCATCATTTCACACTTTGAATTCCATCTTGCTATCCTCCAGAGTCACAGTAAATAAATATTTTATCTCAAAGGTAGTCTGTAAAATTAAAACCTTTTAAGATAGCAATGCTATGTCTTTGCTTAGCTTATCAAGTGCCCCCAGAGCCACCTTTTTAGTTCTAGGCAACCTTTCTAAGTAATTTTCAAGGTCTTCTACCATCTCACTTCACTTCTAATAAAAGCATCACTGTGATGTTAAACCACTTGTAGAAATATCCTCTCAATAAGTTATTAAAAACTCGATGGAAATTCTTGTTGTTAGTTGCGTTTAAGTCGATTATGACTCATGGTGACCCCATGTGTGCAGAGAACTGCTGAACAGGGTTTCAAGGCTGTGACCTTTCAGAAGCAGATCGCCAGGACTGTCTTCTGAGGCACCTCTGGGTGGGTCTGAACCAGCAACCTTTCAGCGACTAGTGTAGTGCTTAACTGTTTGTGCCACTCAGGGGAAGTCTTTGGAACTGTTACGGAATTCTAAAGCATTCCTTAAACTACTTGGGCGTGTAAAAATTGTGATTACACAACCTGAGAACCATTCTTTTTTTATTTTTATTGTACTTTAGATGGTTTAAAAGCATTCCTTAAACTACATGGGCATGTAAAAATTGTGATTACACAACCTGAGAACCATTCTTTTTTTATTTTTATTGTACTTTAGATGGTTTACAGAACAGTTTCTCATTGAACAGTTAGTACACATATTGTTTTATGACATTGGTTAACAACCCCACGACATGTCAACACTGTCCCTTCTCAACCTTGGGTTCCTTATTACCAGCTATCCTGTTCCCTCCTGCCTTCTAGTCCTTGTCCCTGGACTGTTGTGCCCCATTAGTCTCGGAGAAACATTCTATTTTTAAGTCATCGTTTATCTATTCATTCAATAAACACTTATGAAGGGTCTCCAATACGTCTAGCACTCTGCTTTGCACTTCAGGGTGAAGAGATAAAAGACAGTCCCTGCTTTTCAGATGCCTGCAGTCTGGTAACTTGTTCTGTATACACAGTTTATCTGTTTTACCCACGGGAGATGGCGACAGCTCAACAGAAAAAGTACAAAAGGTTCTTAGTATAATTGTTTCCAATTTTAAGTCGAGAGAACCAGTGGTAAGCACAGAGTGATATAATGCTATTATTGAGCTTTCCCACATAACATCTTTTGTAGATTTTTTTTTTTTTTTTTATGATCTTAAAAATAAATGGAAAGATTACATTGTAGTTTTTCTCGGAAAAACTTAAAACATTACAAATTTTGTTTGGCCCGATCTTTCAAGGTATTTGATAGATAAAGAACACATGGGTACATTCTGCCAATTAAGTTATAAATGTATGCTTTCACTAGTAATAGATGTTAAGAGTGGAGAATCAACATTTGTTACTTGCCTCTTTTGATTTTTCTCTCTCCTCTGCTTCTTGATCTATGGAATAATACAAGAGCAGTGTGAAGAATGAGCGGTGACATGCAGATGAGATACCAAGGACCATGGTTTGATCAATTTTGTAAACTTAAACTTCTTTCTAAAGAAGATCTAAAGCATACATGATTTTTACCTTACTACTTTAAACCAGTTTTCTTGATATGTTTGTGTTTGAAAGGCCAGTCATATTTAATCTTTACATCTTCACCTAGGAAACACTCTATTTGAGGCAACAAATCCTGGCCAAAACAGTTTTCTTTTGAAGTATTTTTATCTCAGTGAAAAGTTTAATCTTAAATTAGTCGACCAATTTAAATAATATAGATTAATAAGATATTTCACAATTTGGGAGACACAGCTATATGTCTATTTCCATATATAAAATCTTTGCTTAAACCAATCAAAAGAGTAACACGGACTAAACATAACACTAACGTGTATATCCTAGCAGGTTAAAAAAATGTAAACCAGTAAGTGGAAAAAAAGCAGTGTTTATCAAAGCAGAAAATAATGAAAACAAAGACTTCTTTGAAAAAGTTTTCTATTCGACTGTTCAGAAATTTATTTTAGTGTTTTTAAATTCATACAGTCTCCAAGAAAATCTTTTAAATTCCAATTTGAACATGTACTTTAAATCAGTGTAGAAACAAACCTTTGTCAGATAGAAGGTTCTTAGCCAACATATTTCCAAGGTAGTACTCGTGAATATTTACTTTCTATATTAAAAAATAAAATAAAAATATAGTAAATATTTTGCAAATATATTTTTTTAAGAATACAACTTTAAAACTATCAATCTCACTATTAAAGTCTTCATTTTATGTTTCACACTTGAAATTTTGAAGAAAAACATACCTGACCCGTTTCCTTTTCTTCATGGTACTGCCGAATGTATTTTCCATGACATACTTCGTAAGTCCAATACGATTCAATCTAAGAAAGAGGGATGTACTTCAATACTTGAAAGTCACAAAGTTACATACACAATTGAATTACTTCTGCTATTCTAAGTAGCTGAGTAGATTTCTTATAAGGTTTAGAGTCAGCTTTCATTAAATGTTATTTATCGTGCTTTAGAAAATATGAAAAATCTAGTCACTATTTTCGCTAATTAGCGCTGAGAATTCTGACTGAAATAGGTGTAGAATACACCTGAGCTCTGTAATAACCACCTGGCTTAGGGATCACTTTCTACACAGCGAAAAACAACAAAAACAAAAACTAGCGTTTTTTATTATGGTTCTGTAAAGAAAACTTTCTTTTATCTGAAAAACATTCAAAGTAGTTTGGTAAATGGTATCATTTGATCAGTATTACTGGATATCTGCTGCCTATTTTGATTTCCCAAAATACTTTGGAATACAATTAACTGAAAATCTGATACAACATAATAAAGTAAGAAGAAACGCAGAATTATTTTTAAGGGTCTACTGGCTGCTGGAAATTTATTTTCTAGTTATTAAGTAAACGTAAAATACATACCCTGTAGGAACAACTGCTCTGTTTAAATAGTGGTTCCAACAGCTCTCTTGGATTAGGGCCTTTATAATCCTTTTCTTCCTCCTGAAGAAAGAACTGAAGTTTAAAACAATTGTTCTAGAACATCACCAAACTCATTGGTCAAATCACAAATGCTTGGAAATAAACGAGGAAAAAAGTCAAAACTTTTAACAAGATCCTACGGTATGGTACTTCTTTCAAAAGAATCGACGTATAAAACATAGAGCCACAGGAGAATCTTTCATAGTGTTCATTCTTTCTTCTCTTAAAAAAAAGGTTTTTAACTATCAATTCCCTGAACAATTCTTATAATAAACCTATTTCTGAAAACTTAAATGCTTGCATCGGAACAGATTCTAGCTACGAAAGCCTCAGAAAAGCTGGATCTTCTAGAATATACTGGAACATTTTAAGGTACTTCTCAGTTTTCTATGTATTTTTACATTTTGGGTTTGAATGCTATGTGTGTGTGGTTCTCTGCCTATGTGTGTATTTTTGTGTCTTGAGGTTTAAAACAAAATGAAATAGACATCTGTCTTTCACAGATTTCAAATCTGAACAAAATGTAAAGAAAGCACTGAGTTAAATATTTCTATTTTATAGACCACAAAAATATTATGTAATTGGCCTAATAAATGTAGTGAGTGCATGTCAAATCTGATCACGGCTCCACAGCTAACTATAGCCTATACCTCAGCCTCCTGGCTCTACGCTGGTGTCCTTTCCATTTTACCATGCTGCCTCTCCCGTTTCGTTTTGAAAGAAGTCATTGCCTTCAGGGATGGATAAAAGGCAGTTAAGGCGTTTCGGGGGGAGAGAAGGGCATGAGCTAAGGTAGTGAGAAAGTAGGAGGTACTCAGAGGTATATATTAGCAATTTTTCATAAAAAAGGTCTCACATAAGCATTTAAAAGTATATCTTGTTTCAAAAGCCTCATTTCTACAAAAGAAAGCAAGCTTGGAGTTATGTTTTCATTCAACACATTAATACGTGGTTGCTGATTTTTCCAAGTTGAACTGCAAAATCAATCAAAGAATTCAGGATTCATAAAAGCGATCGATATTTTTATGGTAAAGCAGGTTACCGAGAAACCTGTCATTCAATTTTTATTTCACAGTATGTGGTTGCAATGTTTTAAATAAGTTTATCTTTGCTGACAGGAATTATCAATACATTTATAAAAATTCACCTCATCTCCGCCTGTCACAAGGGGAAGTATACACTTATATTTTTCTTTATGTGCAGTTGTCATGATGACATAATTATCTTCTTTATACAAAACTCCAGTTGTGGGCTAGAAACAAGAACAAAAAATAGACATTACTTTGGTTAAACTGCACTACAGTCAATAACTCAGAGTTCTAGCGAAAACAAAGGTGCTTCAAATTAATTCATCATTTCAACAGAAGATTTTTAAAACATTAATTTCAAAGGAAAGGAATAGATTTTACATATTTTTAATATCAAAATAAAGACAAATTTTATCCTGGTGTACAATAGAAAAAAAACGAACAAAAATAAAGTTTGAAGTATAGAGAAATAAGCGGTAATACAATAATAGGCTAAAGTTAAAATACCAATAAAAAGCATTACAAAGCAATGACTGTTCATAGATATGCAATCACTAAATACTTACTACTCCTTAGGAATACTATTACTTAGTATTAATTATGTAATACTATTACACCTAACCAACACTTAATACTTATTTACCATCTATATGTGAGAATCCATCACCCTTTACAAATGTACTCTAAACTCTGTTGGGTGGGGCACCTGAACATAGTATAATGCAGTATTTTTCATATTTTAATAACATATGGAGAAATCCCTTTTAAAAGAACAATTATTATGGATCCTCTGGGCCAACTTAAGTTTTTTTTAACTTTTTTTTTTAATTGTACTTCAGGTGAAGGTTTACCGAACAAATAGTTTCTCATTGAACAGTAGTACACATATTGTTTTATGACACTGGTTAACAACCCCACAACATGTCAATCCTCTCCCTTCTTGACCTTTTCTTTTTTTTTTTGGTGAAAATATACATAGCCAAAGATACACCATTTCAAAAATTTCTACATG